ACATTCTCTCCTTCTCTCTGGCTGAGAGGAGCGAGTCTCCTGGGTCTGGCCTAGCTGATAACCTCCTACACCAGGAGCTTCACATTTTGCTTGTCATCAGCATCCAGGGAGGCAACGCTCCGTTTCACCATGGAGACACAGGCCATTTGTGTTAATTGAGAAGGGAGCCTAGGAGCAGACATAAAACGCCAGGGTGGGGATCTGGGCTCTCAGGTCCCAGAGCACCTGCCCAACAGGCGGCATCTGAACCTGCCCTCACACCGTCTCAACACTCCTAGGATGTCAGGCACCTGGTGGTATTCAATAATAGTAATAGTAACAATATCATTATTATTTTTGCCCAAGGAAGGGGACCTGACCTTCAGAGCCCTGTCCAAAGCCTCTCTCACTCTAGACCCATCTCTGGGGCCTCACTGCTCTGGACACACACTGTGGGGCCAGTGACTACAGGGCAACAGGAGTCATAAGGGACGACACTTTAGTCCCATCCCCCCAAGCACAGCCCACACCCCACCTCTTCTGTCCCATGATGGAGGGAGAGAACCCAGCTGATGGGCAGCTGCCCCAGGAACTGGGAGCCATCTTTCCAGGGCAGCCTGCAAAGGGAGATAGGGGACTTAAAGATAATTAGCCCCCAGCGCTGGGCCTGTGGTGTCTCATTACCAAATGCAAATGCAAGTTCAGTGCCACTCAAGGCTCCTGGCAAAATGCCTGCCGACCCTCAACCCTCCTGAATTTGGGCTGAAGCATCACCCCAGGCCCACCCCCTTTGCAGCCTGCAGCTGGTGTGCAGGCTCTGCAAAGTGAGAAGGCTGCTCTCACCCCACTGAAGTGGGGAAGAGGAAGGGTCTTGTTTCTCTGAAGGCAGCAGAGATGCTGGGGGGGGGGGGCGCAGTGTAAAAAATTGCTCTTCCCTCAGCAGTTAAAAGAGGGCCTATTGCAGCAAGTGGCAGGCGGCTGCTCTGCCATTTAGCATACAGCATGCCCAGGAAAACTCATTTGGTAATCAGGAGGAGTGGAGGGAAAAAGAGCAATCAGACCCCTATTCAGGCTCCTAGCGACAGCCCCTGCTGGCTTTGCTGGTCCCACCTAACGCCTGAATGCGGGTGGGGCACTGCATCTGGGAAGCAGCAGTCCGCCTTTGTGTGTTTTAAGGCCCTGTTTCTGTGCTTCAGGCTCCATACCAAGGATAAAGATTCTGAAAGGAGTTAGTCTTTACTCTCTGACTACTCATCACTCCCCTCCAGCCCCCCACGCCCC